CTTGTGGGGGAATTTTGTTCACGGACTCCGACTGCACCAATTTCGGTCCAGGAGCAGCACATAACCATGCTCCGGACACGACAGCTATCAAGATCAACAAATGTGTCTCCATGAAGCAGCGAGCGGCCAAGACGTGTGACAAGCCAGGTGTTATCTACTCGCAAGCCATGATGCATTTGGATGACGATGCTCGTGCGCTTTGCCATCAGAGGCATCCATCAAACGAACTCTGCAAAATCAACGCAGCTCTTTATGGCAATGCCATAAATGAGATGCTTTTCTGCAGAAAAAAAATTAATATAAACCAGAAAAATATTCACGTGGGCATTTTTTCGTACTTTGCAGGTATGGGCGTTTTTTCCGTGGGCATTTTTTCTTGTGGGCGTTTTGTCTGTGGGCATTATTTCCGTGGGCATTTCTTCAGTGGGCGTTTTTTCGTATATTCCTTATTGAGTGGCCCTCGTAACTAAAATAAAAAGTCATTGAAATGGATCGTGCGCTTAGACATCAAACACTCATGCCACACCCGAACCCAACCTTGCCGATCTGGGCCTTCAACCGACTGGATGCGTCCTGGATGTCCTTGATGCGATCCTTGAGGGATGCCAGGATGTCAGAATGAAACTGGGACAGTCTTTGGGAGAGATGGGAGATGTGAGACTCCATCTTTGACCTAAGGGCTTCACATCGCATCCTCTCCATCTGGGATCGTCTGATGTTTTCTTCTGTCACTTGCTTCCAACCCTCCATATCCGTCATCCTGCAGGAGGTGATGAAACGAATGGTTCAGTGCAACCTCGTTTCCCTCGCTCGAAAAAATATTACGCGTGATACTCATTGCTTCCGGGAAGCTTACAATGTAAGTGAGAAACCTACGTCTCAATTGCAGAAGATCGATCGAAGATGTTTGAAGCCTCCACAGTCCCATTCTAAAACTACTGTATTCACTGTTCTCAATGGATCAGGGACGGTATAAGGAAGTAAAATTAGGCAGGATAAGAGAGATTCAAGTTTCTCACAGCTAACATCAATGTCCAAGTTTATGCATTTCGATACCCATGCAGACGTCATATCCTTCACAGCAGTCATATACACGATGGCATACTCTCATTGATGATTTGCTGACAAAAGCCCGACGGGGAGCTTCTGAGCACCGCAGATTTGCGGTGAAAATGTTAAACATCTCTCCTGCCAGAATGGAGATGTTATTGATTTTCAGCTCAAGATGACTGCCCTAGTAGCTTATAACATTGAATCAACATTGATTCAACGTTGGGTCAACGTCCGGATGTGGAATCAACATTGAATCAATGTTGTTTCAATGTTATATGTTACTAGGGTGCATATTCTTTCAAAATATTTCCAATTTCATTTTTTCCTGTAAATTTTCTTTTTGGAGTCTTCCATGGTTATTAGACCGCAGGGACAGCATATGCTGATTGTCCCACCAAACCATTTAAATGCTCATATCTCTGGATTTTCACAACGAATTTCAACCTAAATCTAAATCTAACTCTATTGTCCTAATTCTGACAGGTCGAAAATAGCAGTGAAGCCTAAATGTGAAGCCAACGAGTTTTGAACTTCTCGTAGGAGAATATAATGTATTCTCGCACCTCCACGGATGGTGTCTCTCGCTCGATGCCATCTCGAATCTGCGACTTAGGTTACTTTGGGCGGAGGGGGGGGGGGAAGGTAGCAGGTTTATGGTAACATAGTGAGGTAGGCGAATTCGGCAAGTTTTCTCGGACCCCCTGGCCAGAAGTATCTGGAGTCTCCTTCTGTCTGGTTACATCCTTATACAGGTCTATCTAGAAATTCCAAAGTTTTCCCTTAACTTGTGCTGGGGAATAGAGCAGGTAATGAATGAAAAATACAGGGGACTCGTTCCAATGGACTCGTTCGCAGTTAGGTGCCATCTCGTACAGATCGGTAGAACCTTTTTTTTGCTCAGATAATGTGGATTATTCCATGTTGAAACACCATAGCGACTATGATGAAGGCAAATTTAAAAAACCAATTTTCACTTAATAGCCTCCAAACAACTTCACTAATCCAATGAGTAGTCACCATATGCTGAAAATTCGGTTCATTATGAATAGCCAGCATTCGATTGCTGTTGATTCTTTACTGAATTCTCAACATCGACTATGTCTCAACATTTCAACCTTATGTCAAATGTTGACACAACTTAGTTGTGCCTATTGGGGACCATCTCATTTCCCCCATGCCCCCAGCGTTCGGGTAGTGAGGAGAGATGGTAATCAAATTTCCTTCCTGTCCTCAATTTCCATCCTGGCTGAAGCCACGATGCCCTCCTCAAACTAGAGTATCTTCCATCGGTCATCCTGGATTGATAGACGATCGCAGCAAGGCTCTTCGGAAGTTATGTAATATTAGCGGTCTCAAAAAAAAAATCACAGAGAAATAAATTGGTAGGTCGAAGCTTCATTTCGTCTCGTCGATTTTTTGTCTCGTCGATGTTTTGTCGTCGATGTTCTGAGGTGATAAAGCTATCATACGCTTCCTTGTCGAAGTGCTTTCGAACCGCAGGTTTCGCGTAACCCTCGGTCACCAGGTGAGCAAGCCAAGAATCCTGAACCATGGCTTGCCACAAGGGTCAACTTTGGCACCCCTGCTATTTAATATCAACACATGTGACCTACCGGAGACCGTGTCCCGTAAGTTCATTTCTGCGGACGATATGGCATTAACGACACAGGCGCAACACCTCCCTGACACCGAAAGTCCCTCACAGTAGACCTCGCTGTCCTGGAGGGTTACTTCAAGAAGTGGCGCCTTCGACCAAATCCGACAAAGACGGTGGTGACGGCATTCCACCCAAACAATAGATCCGCCACCACCAACCTTAGCGTAACTTTCAGCATCAGCAACTCCATCACGACCCCGATCCAAGGTATCTAGGGGTTACGCTGGACCACCAACTCCTGAAGAGCATCCGTGAGAAAATCAAGACACGGACGAACATAATGCAGAAGTTAGCAGGTACAGGATGGGGCGCCGATACGAAAACCCTCAGAACCTCAGCATTGGCTCTCGTCTTTTCAACGGCCGAATATTGTTGTGCCGTCTGGGAAAATAGCTCTCACACGAAGCTTATCGACTCCCAGCTCAACACCACCATGCGGATAATTTCGGGAACATTGAGAATGACATCTACTCCCTGGCTTCCCATTTTAGCTCACATCCACCCGCCAAACATCTGCCTAAACGACTACCGTCGCATCCAACGCAACCCGGAACTATCGATCCACAACGAACTGACCAACCCGCCCAACCTACAATCTTAGAAAATTCCGAGCATTTGGGGAGTAAAATGTGAGCACACCGTGAGCTTTTTGAATTTACTCTCTTATTACTCACCAAATGCTCCCTCATCGCTCGTATTGAAGTGACATCTTGAAGTTCTTCGCCAGGCCACTAGATGGAAGTAAGGGTCTCGCTTTTCGCACAGTACACAAATGTTCCCTTCCCTCTTTCCCTGGAATCGTCCCTCGCATGATTGTTTAGTACCTCGACATATGTCTCGCCTATTCTCATTATAGGAATGAATAAACACGGACACTTCATCATTTGTTATCCACATATTCAAGACATATTCCAAGAGTCCAGGCCATAAACAAGCTCATATTCCTATTGAGAATCCTTTTGGAACGCGTATGACTTTGATCTAGTATATACAGAGAATATCCGTGAACTTCATTCAATCATACCGCAATTAAATGAGGTAATAAGGGACTGATATCGCGGACATTCCACGGAACCTATAAGAGGTGATCCACCCTCTGACGTGTGCTGTGATCGGTATGGTTAGAGGTAGGTCAACGCCTGTACGAGAGCGAAAGCGACACGCAGTATACAGGGTGTCCCATAAGTCACTATACCATTTAAAAAAAATCACATCTACTAAATAATTCGCACAAAAAAGAAGTATCATTAACTGTATGATAGCGTGTCATTTAGAATTATCTTTGACAAAAATGAAAGCAACTCAGTTTTGAAAGTGCCTCAAAATGCACTCTGCCTACACCAATACATTTCGCATGAGGCTTGGCACCATAGATTCGCCTAAACTCCCATTGAACTCTGACGGGACTCTCAAAGACCTCCATCCAGGTAGAAAACATTTCTTCATTGCTCCAGCGTCAATTGCGAAGCCTTTTCTCATGACAGCAAAAGCAAATTCGAGAAAATTTTATTTTTCTGTTTCTCGAGTCTATCTGAATTTAGGAGAGAAAAACAAGAATCAGCAATTTTGTGAAGGAGGATTGGAAAAGGGGTACCATGAATCGACCTGAATAGGTACACCTATAAAATATGCATTCGAAGCAATTTCCGTTTGAATCTGATACTGTCATTATCGTTTTAAAAAAAAGTTCTAAAGGATGTTCTTTCCATCAATGATAACAACAATGCTGCTGTTTGGAAAACATTGCAGTTTGAATGGTATAGTGACGATATGGGACACCCTGATTATGAGAATTTTCGTATTTGCTTGACATCCCTATCACTTTCTGAGGGGAGCGTTTTTACTCACGGAGGAGGAGAACAATTTTACTCCTTGGTGATGGAGTAAATTCGCTCCTTTCCCAGAGTGAAACTGGAGTTAGTTATTTTACTCTCTTTTTTTGAGAAAAATCGCTCCCCTTTTTTTAAAAGTGTACGACTGAAATCCAGAAACCCGTTCTGGCTCACGGGACGAATTCTTGCCGAATCCGGCGAAACCCCTGAAGATAAGTGGCGCGAATCTTGGTCAAACGCGAGCCTACCGAACAAATACAGGGGGGGGGGAAAGAAAAACAAAGCTATCATTTTTGGTGAGTTGTCATTCTGATTGTAGGCTACCGATCCTGATGCAATTTAGTAGGCACAGAGAATGACTCAATTGGGGTTCGTGTGCCAAGTTTGAAATGATCATTTCTACAACTATGAGAAAGGCATTTCATTTACTTTTCATCACCAAAAGAGTAAGTGTTAATTTTTACTCTAAACTTAAAATTTCTCACAACTAACAAATGAAACAAGCAAACAAACAGAACAAAAACAAAATTCACAATGCCAAAAACGAAAGTACATAATTTGGTTTAGGTAGGTTCATTTCAACTGAAAAGGTGCCCAATGTTCCCTCCATTCTGTTGAACACTAGCCACTAGTATGGGACGCCACAGATCAATTGCTAGGTCAATAAATATTTGAGACAATACTTCCCAATTTTCCTAAATAGCATCACGCAGGGATGGAAGGTCATGAATTCACCCTCCCTTTCATCCCAGTCACAGGCTCACATCGGTATTTTCTACGGCAAATTTTGTCGTGGGTCATCAAAAAATAAGCACAGCTCCTATACATTTAGAGCCAGAAGGCTGAAATTCGGCATCAAAACTCCAATTGAGTCACCCTATAAGCCTACGAAATTTAGTCAGAATCGACAGGGTACAATGACATTGACGACTCATAAAAAATGACAGCTTTGTTTTTTTTTTTGGTCCACCCTGTATATCATCTCGGACCCTTCCACCCAACCACTTGGCTACGCCCTACCACGCAAGACCTGGACTTCCCAAAATAGACTTCGAACATCCTACGGCCGATGCAATTATCTCCTCCACAAATGGAAGATGAAAGATCCAAGCTGCGACTGTGATTCCAGTCAACAGATCAGGGACCATATAACCCATTCCAGCTCAAAAAGACCCTTTCCCGGAGGGGTCATAGAAATCCACAATGCTTTCCCAGAAGCCATCAATTGGATATCCAACCTGGACGTAAACATTTAACGGCGTTGCTATCCGGATAACCATACGAAAGAAGATGTGAAAGGAGTAATTTTTTCTGACGATGTGAATATTACATCCCAGGATGATTATCCTTGGATGTAATACTGTATTAACATCTACAAATTACTAGACGTATGTACTAGCAAAAGAACTGCTCTGCGGATTCTGAAATACAGATTAAAAAACCCTAGAAAAGAATTGTCTTTTAAAGTCAGGGAAGGAGGTCTTCCGGGCAGCGAACTGGTGCGAGCACAAAAATAAAATTATAGTTACTCTTAAAATCACTGGTGTGGTGAAACGGCTAGAAATAAAACGGCAAGAAATAAAACGGCAAGAAATAAAACGGCAACCATTTGAGGATAATGAAAGGATGCATAGACGTATGGATGAAATAAACTTTGTCTTGTTAGATACTGTTTCAGTGGCGTCACAGAATTTCAAAGAGCGGCGCGGTTTTTGCCTCATCAGATATTCTGGCTCTGTACGAGGTACTTGGGAAGTCTCCCTTTCCGAAACCCTTCGTGGATATTGCAATCGGAGCACGGAGCGGGATATTTATTTGCAGACCTACCACTCAGAAGCGAAAAACAAATATTTTTTAACATGACGTCAATCGATGAAGAGTTCATCTCGATGATTCATGAGAGACGCGAAAGATTATATTTTCCTGATGACTACAGGTCACTAATTGTGGGAAGAAGCAGAGAACGAGAAGACATAGGGTTCGTCTCTCAAATATCTGCCTTCCTCTTCTTTCACAACACGTGTCGTATTCGTGTTGTGGAACGCGTCATCAAGGAAGATTACAGACGACCATCGTGAAAATATTTCCAAGGAACAGAGTAGACCCCTAACCAGCCCTAGGGAATGCACATAGAAAATTCAGGGAATCAAATAGGCGCCCAAAATGTATCAATTTGATTCTGTGCGTCCTGCATTTGATGCATTTCGGCCTCGTTCTCCATACCATACCCATTCTCCGCAGCCCCCGGGGGGGGTTAGGTATTCAATCCGAAGACAATAGAATTTCTCTCGTCAGAACAGATCTATTGGTCGCCCACAGACAGAGCCCCAGGTTTTGATACATATACTTCCCTTGACTGTGTCATCTCCAAAATCCCCTAGTATCGGCGGTTCGGTGGGGAAAATCATGAGAGCGCTCAAATCTGCTTTTAAAAAAATGTATTCATCTGTTTTTTCACACCCCCAAGGGAAGAAAGTTTTTATTTTCCTCGGGTTTAAAGACCATAGAGAAGACTCGATATTTTCCATTAATATGTTCAAAAAGAGAAATATGCGAAAATGGATATTTTAATAGGGGAGGTGATTAAGATTGAGAGAAAGGGCGGAAGCACCTATCGATTCAAGGCGATAGGCTACGAATGATACGTCAGATGAACCTATTGTGGGAATATCATAGCTTTAAGCTTGAAAGCTTAGTCTACCGGCGATACATATTGCACCACCGATACACGAAACCAAATACAAATACAATATGAAACTGGACTCGAAAATGGAAGAAGCGATCACTATAGATTCCCTGAAAGATGCACGAACTACGAACACGGGCTGGAGGGAAGGTAATAGGGCGAAGAGACCTTGCACTCTCACGCGCTTGCGCGTGTGTCACTCAACAGTGAATGCATTGCCCCGAGGGTTCATAAGGGAGTCCTTCGACACGATCGAGTGGAAGACGGAGGACGGAGGTTGACTTGCGCTTCGAGATGCGCAGTCACTCAACCCTCCCCCCTCTCGACTCGGCTATAGACGTATTTCGATTTTGCAGATGCCTTTCAGGTGACAGAATTGACCGAAGCCTATCATTCGACTCACCGATTTCTTTGTGTGGGACTACGCGAACGAGTATACTCGCATGAAACGACTAGTGGAAATAACTAGCCAGCGGTTTCGCACATTCGTATATACGTATTTACATACAGGTATTTCCCGGAAGTACTCTCACGGAGGTAATGTAATTTGTCGACGGCAACAATCGCTCGCGCTAATAAATTTTATGTGAATGCACTTTCAGCTTTAAAACCCCCGATAAGATGCAATACAAAGCAAGGGTAAAATTAATGCGAAACGTCAACGTAGTACACTGAAAACTTTAAATGTGTCATATGGCACAAAAATGTGTCTGGTCACCTGGGTGACACGAAATAATGCGTTTTGAGTCTTGACAAACTTAATTGTGTCATTTGATACATCTTCCTGCAAGTGACAGGCCAAAGTGTGTCGGATGACCCAAGCAAGTTTTAGTAGATTGACATGTGTCAACTGACACATGGGAGAAAAGTCTAACTACAGGATGTGTCAGTCGACACACTCATGGCACGTTTTTCGGGACCAATATGAATACATTCTTGCGGGACACATATAAGAATGTCAAAGGACACATTAGAACGTGTCATTTCTTTCTGTGCAATAGAAATAAGATCTCAACATCAGTCACCAGGGCCTGGGAAAACTAAGCTGAAAAGAAACTCCTACTTGTCACTAGTTACTCCATTAGTGAGAAATAATACTGCTTGAACCCGAATACTTTTGAAATTGAATACTTTAATCGTAATTAGGTACTTTTCAAGGGGAACGTGCTAAACACTGAGTGTACATCAGGAGCAGACTACATGACACTGTGTTCTTATGATGGAACTCGTCTTATCTTGATAGTTTACTTGAATTCCGTTCTCAATGGATGCGGAGTCATTCGGTGCAAGACAAAAAGTTGTTACTGCATTGTGGAAAGGGCGGTGACTTAAAAATAAATCATTACAACGAATAAAATTCATGAATTACTGATGAAATTGAGATCCTCACCCTTGTGGAAGAAGTTCGGCCCCGGGATGAAAAGTTGCCAAGGAGATGTCCTTAGAGAGGATGATGTTTCTCGTATCGATATCCAGGGCTTGGCATTTCTCACCCCATTCCTGTTCCAGGGCAAACTTGGTCTCCAAACATTCCCTTATTCGAGTATCCAGGTCTTCCAGAAACCCCTTGGTGGCGTCCTCGGCTTCACCCGACAACGACACAGCCTGTGAAATGGAGAAAACCCCCGTGAACTATTTTGAAACTCCCCAACTTCCTCGGGGAGTTCAAAAGAATATGGCATTTTCTCAAGAGGCGGTGATAAATGAGGAGAATCCGGGTTTGCATGATCACATGCCGTTTCCACCTGCACATGGGATGTATCATTAGGGCCTCTATCACCATCCATTACCATCTCCCCTCTATCTTCTCCTCTACCCACTCCATCATCCTTCAGCGAAGATAATTGAAATCGGAAGAAGGGTTTCGCAAATGAAGAGTCGGTAGCCTACTTTTGTGCCTCATTTGAGTGCGATTGCTGGGAATCCTTTGTTAGTACCCTATCTCTCGCGTAACAATAGTGTTTCTTCTACAATGCACACGGAGATGCCACTAATTATTGCCACGGCTTTTATGACGGCAATAAGGAACCTCATTTCAAAACAAGTTCTCTTATGGAAGCCATAAGAGAACTCATCTCAGAACAAGCCTCTGCTATAAAAGAGAAATATATTTTTTCCTGTAATTTCTCGTGCGTGTGTTCCATTCACTGCCTGTATCTTGTTAATCATAAGAGAGAGCAACTTGTACTTCTGAGTGTGCATTGCGTATTTGTTACACATTGACGGAAGCTGGATTAGATTTTCGTGGCAAAAATATAAAGAAAATTATAGCCAGAGAATCGATACTTTTGGTACGTCCTTCGTATTACCTCCAAGGGGGCGCCATGGAGGGCGGCTGCTCCCTCTGCCCCCCCCCCCCCCGTAAAATACGCCACTGGCTACAGCCCCCCCCCCCCCCCCCCCCCCCCCCCCCCGTAAAATACGCCACTGGCTACGGCCCAACAACCTCTGACAAGCATAATCAAACTATTGTAAAATGTAAAATGCCAGAAGGAGAAGGAGCTAGGCAGAAGAAAACCACAAAGGAAAAGATACCAAAGCTCTAGACTATATTATTGTCACTATTCGACCGTCTTCATCAGGGGTGCACGGCCGGCCTAGAGTACCAACAGCTAATTAAACCTGTTTCTGAGGGCAACGTAAATATGCCAGGAATATGAGATAATCGGAAGTACTTTCCATTCGAAGGCAATTCCAGATGAAGTCTCTATGTGCATGCTATCGACTGCCGATGATTGGCCCAAAAAGTATCACGACAAGGCTACCCAAACTAAAACATTAAGTTTTAGGCCAAAAAACCGACAGACGAGCATCCACAGAGTTGGCGATGCTCAAATGTTTAAATAAATAAATAAAAATATCATCAGTTGAGTTGGAATAACCAAATAGTGAACTTTTAGTTTTGTGTCTTCGGAAATTATGTGCGCCTTAAAATCGAAATATTTTTGCCCATTTAATACTTCGCTGGAAGTGTTTTATGATGAAACTAGAAGGAAGGCCCACGAATATCGCGAGCAATCAAGATACTTAGCACCTTTGGATTGGGAATCCAGCTCAAGACATGAAATAGAATGATCAGTAGGGTTACACAAGTATGAAGGATCTGGATTCTACGTTATTCTTCATTTGAGTGTTTTCCACGAAGTTTAAGTTCACCTATTATGTTTTAACCCGTCGTGTTATACTGAAATTCTAGGAGATTCTGCACTTTTAGAGCATGTTTAGGCATTTACAGGCATTTCGAAACATTTTGGACATAATTGGAAATTTTTAATTAAGTTTTGACGATTTGGCGTTTTTCGGCAAACCACCACTTCTTGTAGAGTCGATTGATACCTGGCTGACCTCTCTGTCGTGTCTCTGGGAATGAGCGTGACAGGTGTCTATTTTACATATGTGGATCATAGACCCAAATCAGGGCACATTAGGACTCCCGTTCCTGATTTGAGGGGAAATGCAGATCATTGAATCCCATGGGACCTCAGCAATTTTGTACGCAAGAGCAGATAAGGAAATGGGAACTCGGAGCCACATAGGAGCATTCCGGGACCTATAGGTCTCTGAATGCGTTCAGGGAGGATAGGCTAGGAGAGAAACACGAGGAGAGAGACTTATGAATCATCTCAGACGAGGAACCAAGTCACCCTGGAGTCGGTAGCTATGCACAAATGTAACAAGTAGTATCTTGGACTTCATATGCCATTTCATTGCCAATAAAATTCTAGGTTTTTTTTAAATATTCCAGTGAAATAATTATAGTAATATCTTGAAAACGATCATTTTCAAGGATATATTCAAAATGGGGGACATTTGTTTGGGTCACCCTGTAGAATGTGTTTAATTTCGGAGTAATGTATCTAATAATGTGTTTAATTTTGGAGGCCTGCAATTAATAGAGTTCGTGCTGGAGAGGGTTCAGTAGCAGGCTACTAAAATGATAAAGGAGATAATAGGTTTTTCGTATGAGGGACGCTCAGAAGCGTTGGGTCTGTTTTTGCTTGAGGGAAGGTTAACGAGGAAGGACCTCATTTAAGCGTTTAGCGTCATTAAGGGGATCAATAATGTGGAGCTTGGTAGGTTTTTCCGAATCGATATCGATAAAGTGTTTGCAACGAAACGGTGTACTTTGGTAAAATTTCGCTTCTAGATAAATAATTTCCGAACGGAAAATGCTTCATAATCGAGTTTCGATGCATGCCCGTCACTAGAAGACCTTGCCGCATAGATGTATCATGTGAAACTAATAAAAAATGTGCGGCTGGTCGTTTCGAATGGAGAATTAGGGAAAAAGGAGGGGGGGGGGGTTAAGGGGGATAATGCATTGTTTAGACTCTTTTCATTCTCCTCTGCCGCCTCATTGCTGGAAGAAGGGCATTCTTGCACATCCTAAAGATAATGCATTCATCAATGGTTTTAAAAAATCCTTTGACTCCACTTCAAGCAATGATACTGTGGTATGAAATAATTTTTTTTATAGGTATGTCTACATGAACAGCAATACTATTTGCCTCTTTATTTAATTTAATTTGAGCCAAAACTCCAGTAATTATATATAAATTTTCTGCACAATGGTGCTAAATGAGGAAGTTTATGGAAAGGACATCGGAGAGTTTGCGAAATCACATGATGAAACCGCTGAAACCTCATAAGAAAGAATTGATTTATTCCATCCGACATAATTATCTATAATTCTACATTTCCAAGAGGAAAAAATTTATAAGCAGGGGAACTGGCTTTCGGTTTCATTATAGACACTTCACGTAGTGAGCATTATTCCCATTTCCCATACCTTAAGCGTCGTTAGTCCTGTGTTGTGATAAGTTTTTTATTCAGTTTTCAAAAGCAACCATAAACCACTCCACAGGCTGTGCATGAATAAACTTTCCGCCGGTCGTATAGGAAGTTTTCCCAGTTTATTCCAATTTATTCCCAGTTAAGTTCCCAGCATTATTCAATCGCATATCCAGTTTTACTGAGTGTCAATTGATATTTGCTTTCCTGCATAAGATGACCAGAGACTGTTCTGTGCAGCATATTTAAGCTTTAAGCCTTTCATCACAAGCATCTGCACGAGATTCAAAGTAATTCTACAAATAAAAATATCAAGGTAGTCAATGTGAGGAATTCTATCGATTATATTGTCCTTTTCAACCTGAAGTCGACCTGGGACAGGTGAAGGAACCGTGAGGTGTAAATTTCAACTGCATCTAATGAACGCATCCTTGCGAAGTGTGTCACATGCACCGAAAAGTGTAATGTGACTGCAATGCGTTGGACGCAGGACAAATTTTATGCGACCGAAATGCATCAAGTTGATGCACGAAAAATTTACGTTGTGGTAGGGTAGGAAATGCACAAAATGCGTCAGGTGATGCGGTCCCTGCCTCTCCCGTGACTAGCTTTCAGAGGAGGTCAGGTACCTTAATGGACAAAAAACAGGGAGCAATCTATTATTGCTGTAAGTAACCAGGCAAAAGAAAAAAGAAACTACCTTTACGAGGGTAAGCATACTTTCTTATATTAATATATGAGCGCTCGACTGAGACATGATTTGTGATAAAAAGTGAAAATGCCTCGACGTCCCTACCCGAACCTTGAACTCTTAAATTTTTGTTTATGCACTTGGTTTTGTCCTCTAACCTGTATTTTCAACCAACATCGATAAAAGAACGGTCGACTTCGATTCAAAATTGATTTCCAAATTAAATTTGAATCCTTTCATGAGTTTCTCAAATTTTCAACGACACATGAGAATTGGATGGTGTCTAGAAGCGTCTTTCTGAATGATGCGACAAATGCCTGGAAAACTTCCCTCTGTTGGGTGAAGCTAGAGGAAGATGAAAGATCGGACACAATCCGTTGCGTGAAGAAAGCTTCATTCAACGTAGAACATCTTGCCATTATCGCAGACGGTATCTGGCAAATGTTACGTGGGACCGGACGGCATTGCAATTCTGAGAGAGTGTAATTACCCGGCGAAACACGAGCCCTTGAATATCCGCGAGACAAAATTTGCATAGTAATGCACTCCGGGGTCTTTGGGGAAAACTGACTCTCCCTATCCCTCGGATTTCATGCAGCACTCGTACGTTTATCCTAAATGAGATTTACCCATAGATCCGGTGACTTCCTGGTGGTACATGCATCAAGAAGGGTTTGAAGATTGACAACATATTATACATCCACTTTGTCAGAGACAATGATGCTGAAAATCCCTTTTGTGCCTCACATTCTACACCAGCTTGCCGGATGAGGAGACTGAAGAAAAAGGAAAAAGTTAACTTTTCTCTTTCTATACTCTTTACTCTGGAGATAACGAAGGCAAAATTGACGAGGACGTCAATGGAAGCAGACGGGTTGATGGGTATTGTAAAATGGGGAATTGACTAGGAATGCCTCAGTTTGCTGAGGTGATTGGGGAAGTCAGAAACAACGGGACGTGACCCGGGTCGTTCAAGCTCCTTTTCTCCAAGTGCTTTGCTTTTAACCTTCCCCCCTCCCTTTTCCCTCTGATTCATATTCCTCAAGTGTTCCTGCATTTCCTTCTGATTTATGGACCTCAGGCCTATAATCGACCCATATGGCACATATCGATTTTCCCAAGATTAAGTCCTATCCAACTTGGGCATGGTATGGGGAAGATGGAAGAAGAATTTCCGTTCTCTCTTCGCTTTTATATTTTTTAATCCTAACGAAGATTGCCTAGAATAGCTAGACAAATAGCTATAGAGTGTTTTGTAAAGTTACTATCCTTAATTTTTTTAATAGTACCATTTAAACCATGCGATTGAAACTTTGCTCAAGCAAAGGTCTGCGCATGTCTGGAAA